AGGTTTACTGGAGATCAGCCAGTAGGATCAGCCACTCTGCTCTGCCATCCTGACAATGGGCAGCACTAATTCTTCCATATTGCCACACAGCAGCCTCTCCTCTCCCATGCCACAGAAGATGATCCTGTCCATCTCCTGTCTCCGTGTCTCTACATCTTCCTGTTCCACCCAGAGAACAGCCTGTTCTCTCCCATCTCTCCAGGGAGCAGCCAGTCTGGTCTTCTTATGAGACAACAACCCACCATTATGCCTGGCTCAGGATGTTTCTTTCCTTGATCCCCGATGAGGTTCAGGGGACTCCTGTTTCCCTCATGACCAGTTTGTCTCCTTTTGCTCCAGGAGCCCTGGGGTTCAGCATCCCAACACTTTAACCACTGCCAGATGGAGCCACTGCCACAGAACTTTCCAGAACATTCTCAGGTCAATGTTTCATCACGTAACCCTTCTGCCGATAGCAGTTGGCAGCCAGAAGGGCTGGGCTCAATATCTAGGGAAGGTTCTTTCAACAATGTAACCAAATTGGCTCGACCTCCCTCCCCCCAGTAACCTGGGAATATTCCAGCCTAACCACTGGGTACCTTTAGAGGCAATTCTTCCTCTCTCGCAAGCAAAGAGTTGGAGATAGAAACAGTCTGTTTAATAACAGTAATCTAGCATCAATCTACAGAAACACCGATAAACAAAGAAAACCCATAAGCAAGATACTGTCCCCAGAGTCCACAACGCAGAGTCTTTTTTTTAAAAGATCTTTAGTCCAACCCCTAACTCATATAGTGTGCTTTCCCTCCTCCCCCGCCACTTCAAAAACCTCACTCATAGCTCTGTCCAGTCAGTGCAGACTCAGAGTTCATAGGTACATCAGCATAGCATCTCCCCTCGTTGAGCATGTGGCAATGCCACCTTCTTGCAGCTCCTGCTGGCTGCTCCCGCCAGCCGCATACCCACCCTCCCACCAGCCACACGCCCGCCGCTCCTGCCAACCATTGCTCCCACTGGCTGCTCTGCCAGCTGCCTGCTATGCAAACTGAGTTAACTGTATCTACATAACCACACCCAGGATTTCTTTCCCATTCCAGCTGGCTGTAATGGAAGCATTGATTCAGATCCTGCTTACAATAATTTACATACATGACACACCCTGGGCAGAAACTGGAAGGAGTTTCCTTCTGAGGGTGAAAATCACCCCAGAGTGGCTTAAGTGGGGCTTAAATGGTGCATAAGTGGCTGATGAGGGCTCTCTGCACTGGGCTGAACTGCATCCAGATGAAGGCGGCGGCTTTGAATAATTCTGTACATTTATTGTAAGCCCCTTTGGAGTTTAGCAGCTCCTGGAATGCTGTACTGAGCCAATGGTCCTGGAACAATTTGTACAGTGGGGGTGCTGAGAACCATTGTGTTAAACTGTAAACCCTGGATAGCATGGAAACCACTGCAGGCCGGGGGTGCGGTAGCACCTCCTGCATCTCCTATACTCCTTAGTTTGGTGCTCAGCTGAGGGAGAAGCAGAACAGCTCAGGGAGTTTCTGATTAACTCCCATTGTAACAAAGAGGGTATTTGAACTTCATTGGGATCCAGCAGATGGTCAGGCAGTGCCAGCCCCGCACACCAGTGTCCAAAGAAATTGAGATCTGATTTAGTGCTGGCTACCAAGAACTAGCCAAGAGTGGCACACAACTCAGAACCAGGGAGCTCTGAGAGGACTCTGCTGCTCTCAGGGCTGAAAATACTGTAACAGGGCCATTTTTATTTTCTTTAATTTTTCCTGTTTGCACTGTTGCTACTTCCACCTTCAAACTTACCCTAGGCAATCCTTTTGCCCAGCAAGGGAGCTGGGGGATGTGGTACAGTTGTGAATAGTGGGAGGTGGGGCAATTATTGCATTTGTTTTAGCATTTGGTGGTTAGCCTTAACTCTGCTTCCCTCCAACCTCTGTTTTATATCCCTAATAAAGTCCTCCTTAGTTATATTGTTATTTTCAGATGTTATATTTCATGTATTGAGGTTAGCCTTCCTGTATTTTGTTTTTATGTATCTGGGGTAATACTCCTTGTTAAGAATAGTCACAATATCGCTTCCTAAGGAAAATGACTTCTTGTGTCTCACACAAAGAGAGGAGTTACATTGGGTGGAGACCCCAGGAATCACAAAAAAGAACTGAAGGCCCTCTCTCCCCACCCAATGTAAGGAGGGAGGAGAAACCACTCCAATTAGCAAGCACCACAGAGAAGACTTGAGCCACACCTCCAGTGAAGGGACAACATACTAATAAATTAATTCTAACATCCCCCCCCCCCGTGTTTAGTAGCAGTTAGATTTACTATAAGTACCAGATAGACAAAACTAGATAAATGAAACATTAAGACTCTAATATGGCATGCTCTCTATTCCTCCACCCACCATCTTACCATTACCACAACTACTGTAGACTACACACTTCAACCCTTCCCTCCTTTTGGTTCTTTTGTACGCTTCTATTGTACTAGATAATTTTTTCCTGGCAATGGAAGCTGTGGACATTGGTATAGCAGATGGTGTGTTGGGAGAGTAGTTTGACAAAGGGGTTTAGCAGAGAAACAGTTGAAGGAGATGGTGTGATGGTAGGCTGGCAACCCGAGGGGGTAAAATTTAGAAAACATTGCATAGTCTGCATTGTGTAGTAGTTATGGTAATAAAAAGTCTGTATGTACTAAGAAATGGCTTAACTTTACACAAATCCTCAAAAGGAAGTAAATGAAAAGTGCATTATGGAGAACTGGTCAGAAAAATGCTCATAAAACTTTTTGTCAGATTTACCAATTTGTCCATGTTGGAACATTCCATGGATACAGTTTGATTTCAACAAAGTTCCAGTGGGACTCAGGTAAGCTTCCTGTCTGTTTTACTACAAACTCACATGACTAGCTTGGCAGCCCACCTGCAAGCATTGCCTAGGAGGAGTCCATGATCCCAGGTCTTCCAGAATTTACAGCTCCAGACATGCTGCTAGGCAGACTGCAGGTTCCATTCCTTACCACAGAGTATTTTTAATTGTTTATTTTGCATTCTGAATAGGATAGTAGCAAATTTCAAAACCCTGGTGGGTGTGCTTGGGCTGGGGACAAGTGGGAAGGGCAAACCTTGGCAAAAGCTTGATATGAAGCCATTGATTGGGAATATTTTACCTCTCATAATGAGTACTTATGTGGCGGCAGCTGCATGTGAGTCCTTACATACTCTCTTCACTGTAAAATAAAATCAGAAAGAAAAGTGTAGCTTTCCTAATGGGAAAAATGTGTGTGGCAACTTGTAAGCCAGCTTTTTTCATGAAGTTTGTGTGGACCCCTTTGACTTCCCAACCTTTCTCTGCTCTAGGCATCAACCAATCAAGTTTAAGTGCACATTACATAAGGTTCTAGTCAGAAAACACAAAAAATAGCTAATGATGACACCAAATTCAAATAAAACACAAAAAAGAGCGGATGCACTAAATTTATTCAAGCTTTTCCTTTTTCCCAGGTTTTGAGTACACAATGTATTAAAAAAAAAAATCAGTCAATAATGCAAAAGCAGGACTGCCAAGGAAAAATATTCAGCCAGAGCTTAATTTCAAACTATTTTTTAGCATTTATGAAGAAAGATCAATCCAAAACTCCACAGAAAATTCAAATGGCATAAAAACTAGAAATGTGAAATTTTACACTGATAGATCATCTACTTTTAAAGAAAAACAGAAACTTCTAATCATTTTAAGGAAGTTTTAAAATGCAGCCCTAACAGTGGAGTCGCTGTCAGGTATATCCATAATATCTGTATGATTTAAAATTTACCTGTACAGCTGTCCTTAATCTCTTACTGAAAGTCTTTAAACTTGAGGCTGGAATGCCATCTGTAGAAGATGCAGCACTGCAGTGATAACAGCCAGTCCCCTTGTTAAAACCCCAGGCACTATTTAATTCCCATTTTCTATTTGATCAGGATAGAGCGCTCAAATAGTCAAATACCGGCCCAAATGAACATAGTGATTTACTGCCCCAAACACGTTCTAACTTGGAATGCACAAGACATTATTAGTCGGTGGAGCGAAGAGTCTGCACAAGTTCAGCTCCAATCCAGCAGAAAAAACATAAACATCTATGAAAAGATCGCATGGAAGATGGGGGAGAATGGATACACAGCACTACTGTATTGCCAGCAGCAACATAAAATTGTTTTTTTCTATAGCTTGCAGCTCAGCTGCCTGAATGATATCACAATGTTCTGCATAGTAGCTTATGTCTTTGGCTCTGGAAATACTGCAGGCTAAGGCACAAGGTATTTGTAAAGGTCAAAAGAATACTGCACAGGCTTTCAAAAAAAGGTGTAAGAATGCATGGGTTATTTGCTGTTAATATCAGGGGCAGGGTTGGGGTAGAAACTGCATGATCAGAGGCCAAAGCCATGTTCCCTTTCCATCTTTTGGTCCCATGAGGCATTATAAGCCCTCTTAACCCTACTTGCAGCTAGCAGCACTGTCAATTATCCACAGTGCACTGCTCTATGTATTGATTAAAGCACTGCAATCCACAGACACAAAGAGAAAGGTGTGAACACAGACAACCAATTTAATCGCAATAAGTTGTCTTTATTTTATAGTGTAGACATGCTATGAGTGGACAACCCCCACTTTAGGGTTACACTAGCATTCAGAGAGTACAGATATAATTTGTGCTTAACTTGCGTCATACACCACAACAGATTTAAGATCTCAGCCTTGGATTTTTTAATCATTGCTTTGTCTTTGAAGTACCGCTCCCATTTAAATGGAGGGTCAACTCCCATTATTTCAATTAGATTAAGATCAGTCGCCTTGTCTCTGCATTTGCTTTAGCTGTCTTTTTTGTCATAGATATTTTTTTCATTAAAATTTCTGCCCAGGGCAGAAAAAAATGCTGTGTTGCCAATCAAATTGTGAAATATTTGCATTTGTGAGGCCAACTCCTCAATCATTGCTCCTCCTCTGACAGTAAGATGACACTTTTATAGTGCGGCAGCTACTGTAGCTGGTATTCTTCTTCTCAGTCATCCAAGACTCAGAGATAACCATGCAGCAGGCTGGAGCGTGTCACCTGCCAGTAAGTTTTTAGAAGTTTTACACATTTTATCTAATCCGTGCAGTGAGAAATAGTGATATTAAATGTTAAATTATATTTCTGTGTTCACCTATTTATTTTAAAGCTGTCAAATCAGTCTAGCACAATGATCACTGACAATTGAACATGACTTATTTAGTATCTAAAATTGAGTGGAAAATAATGTGTCCGTTTGAAGGGTAGGATGAAATAAGGTACAACTTCTAAACAGAGGAGTTTATAACCTAAGTTTTATTTTTAATCTGTAAACTAAAAAGCCATCTCATGTAAACAAAGACATTTGCTAATCACACCAAATAAAAATATTGAATACTCCAGCTTGCTTGTTATTATTTGTGCATTTGTTTTTGCCCAGGCAGTGAAAATGAATGAAGTGACCTTCATTTTCATGCTCTGTTGTTAGTTTAAACAAATACGTTGACAGCCCAAACCTAACTGTTGTTATTGGAATGTTTATAAAATTAATCTTCTGGTTATTATAAGAACCAGATTTTTTTTACAAGATTTTACTTTGAGTTCAAATCTAAGTTGACTCCAGTGAATTGGTTTGTGTCACTGTTTAAGTCATGGATTTTCCCTTTTATTTTTAGCATATTCAACAAACTTCTAATTTCACTTTTCACTGATGCTTGCAGATATTAAAAGGAGGATTTGAGGCTCTACACAGTTTTGTCTCTACCTATGATGTAATTTCCACCTTCACTCGCCAACTTAGCTTTTTCTGATGCTCCCCATCCCATCTTGTTTTCACTCTCCCCCTGTCTTGGATTTTCTATTCCTACATTGTACTTCTATCCTGTGTGTCTCTTTCATCCCATTCCCTGCCTTCACTGATATTGGCCCTTCAACTCTCCTGTCTCTTGCCACCTCATCCCCTTCCTTTGGTTTTTTCATTCTCCATCAGTTGTCTTCTCTCTTCCTGATTTGGGACCTTTGTTTCCCTGACTTGCTCTCGCCTTCTCCAATTCTTATCTCCTGTCATCTGAGTTCTCTTCATTCCTTCTAGTCTCCTCTTCTCCCCCATTTTCCCAGTCCCTTGCTTTCTTGGATAGGTGATTAGAGAGAGGACAAGAGGTAGGACATTTGGACAGCTGGGAATAATTGTAGTAATTGCTCCTTGCTGCACAGTGACCTCTGCAGGATCTGTGGCAGAATTGCTTCTATGCTCTGTGCTCTTCTCTTTCTCTGCCCTCCACCTCACCATGCAAGTGCTAAAGCAAATGGTTAGATCAAATTCTGTTTTTAAGGTACGTCATAATATAATCAAGCACCCAGGCAAAGATACCATATGCAGCTGTTTGTCTTCCACAATAATGTCAATTTTCTTGCCATCTTTCAGTTGGTACCTTTATCCACCTGATATTTTGCCTTCCTTCACCTGAAATGAGGAGCTAGTGGTTTCTTGATGCTGATACTGTCCAGCTATCCTTAAAAGCCAGAGAGGAAAGCAGAGAGAAAATCCTTTCTGATTCAAAATGAAGGATGAGAAGGACCTGCCTCCTTCAGAGGGTGTGGAGCAGATAATGGTGCAGTACCAATGGAAGGGATCTCATTCATTAACTATTACATTTATATGTTTTATTACATTTCTGCAGACCCATGCTGGTTTCATTCTACAGGGCTGTTTTTAAAGGTGGATATTTTCAAGATCCTGCCTTTTGAGATTTAGAGCACATCACAGGCCATTCACAGAGTATTCAACACTTTTCAGTCTCCAATGCCCAAATCTGGGGGGGACTGCAGAATGATGACCCAAAATGAAGACTCAAAGGAACGCAAGACTGCACTGTTACAACACTTTTACTTAGTCAATAACAAGCTGATTTTTTCATTATGCTCATTTTTTAAATGTTTCATTTAAAAATAATTAATATGTTAAATATACTTTATAAAACATCTCACATATATATAATATATAACTATAGAAGGCACTTTACCCTCAGGGAAATGAATTAAAAACCCCAAGGAAAAAATTATAAAATTAATCTACTTAAAACAATTTAAACCTACTTAAAATAACAATGATATTACATTTAGCTCATAGATAGATCTCCAGTCTTAAATGTCTTTGGTGAATTGCTGAATTGGTAAGTAGCATTTTCTAATAGGATACAAGTATACATGCCCTCAGGCAAAGGCCAGAAAAGTTCTGAGGACTTCCTAACTGAGCCTGGAAGGATTAGTCTTTTAATCCATTCTGATCTTGAAGATACAAGTTTCTTTGTGCAATAACTCCATATACAACTATCTAATCTAATCTGGTATTTATAAAGTACTAAATCACTATGGAATTCAAGGGATGAAATTCCAGTTTGGGATCATGGCACACTGACTGGTCTCTTCTCTCTTCTAGTTATTTTTTTCACATTTTTCCTTGTGTTTTGTTTTTGTTTGATTCCCTCCCCCCCGCCCGTCTCTCTGTCATTTCTATCTGTATCTATAGAGGTTTAGAGTCTTTCTTTAGCCTTGTCATTGGTAAGAAAGAGGTTGTGAAAAAGCACGTCTTGCATCATGTACTGTACACAGTTAGGCTTGGGCTGTCCTTGATTTCCTGTGGTGAGAAATTACACAGATTAAGGCAGACTGCTGACAATGCTGTATCACCAGCTCTAGGCACTGATAGTTTCATGACTTTTAATAAAATTAGGGGTTGAGTAATCCATTGAGGTGTTTTTTTCTCAGTACATAAAAAGAAAGGTATAATCAGAGCCACACAACAGTTAATATAAATTAATATACAGGTGGAGTTGTTTCTGGGGATAATTATTGAGTGTGATAATGTTTCTGGGAATGTCTTGCAAAGCTTCAAACAAATATCCCACTGAGTTATTCTTCTTCTCCTCAGCCAAACTCTGGGAGACATAGGTGTGGATTCTTGGCAAGACTAGATGGGCCAAAGAAACCATTCACTGGTCACTTCAGGAATAATCCTCTGTCACTCTAATAACAACCAGCCTGAACAGAATCACTGCTTCACAAACAAGCTTATGTCACATACAGTTCACTGGAAATCTTCCTGCTTTTGGTCTTGAGAACTGCACTAGGTGAACTGATAGTGAAGTGGAATCTTTAGCTTCATGTAGTTGAATGGGGGAAGTGATCCTGTACAGGGACCCACACTGTCCTTCTGAGGACTTTTTGCTTTTTGAAATGCCTGAAAGTTAGTACCATCATCAACTAGAGAGGAACTGTCCACATTTAAAGCAAGGGAATTGCCTCATAATTCCTTCCCATTTGGTGACAGAATTTTAACAAGCAGCCCCCTCTGAGCTTCCAGATCATCACTGAATGTTTCATTGTTACTGCTTCCATTGTTAAAGTTTCTGTTATTTTGGCGGCAGCCTCCGGTAGCAAATTTGAAGTTAGGATTGCATTTTAGAATGGGTTTAAAAGGGGGCAGTAAATTTCCACCTCTCTTTAAAAATAGGTAGCCAATAGGTGTGAAATTTCAGTCACCTTCAGTTTTTCTGCCCTTTGAATTTTCTTAACTCTGCCCTTTCCCTCAGGAAAGGATGGCAATTTTCCATCCCCCTCACCTTCAATTGCTCTTTACCAAACTACCCTCTCCCAACACAATTAAGTACTACCTCAAACACCCACAACTACCAGTGCTGGGTGAAAAAATCGGATAAAGGGATGTGTGCAGAAAGGCACAAGGGGATCGGTGCTCAAGTTGTGCGTGGTCAGTGGTGTCTAATAGTTGTGGAGATGGCAGGGTGTGTGCTTCTGGGAAGGCAAGAAGAAGCTCTGCATTATGGGGTGGCTTAACTTTACATTTCCTTAAGTTTACATCAGACAGGTTGGGGCAGATCCTCAGCAGATGGAAATTGTCACAACATGCTTTATTCCAACAAAGATTCTTCTCTCTTGTATATGATTTTGACACTGCCAGCTTTAGTTTAAGATAAAGTTCTCATTTTGTCTGCATGGGACAATGCCCCAGTGCCCAAACGGCCACATTCACTTGGGCACAGAGGAGAAGTGGGCTCCAGGATTCCTAGAAAAGGAGTTAGGCAACCAACTCTCCCCCAGCTTCATGGGTGTGAGGCATCAGCCTTCCCAGAGCAGCAGCCTCAACTCAGGTCCCTTTAAGGGCAGCACATAAAGGATGTGACTGGGTTTCTCCTCCAGGATCAGCAGAATCTTCACTCCAGGACAGAGGATAAAGTGGGCAGCAGGGGAGAACAAAAGCTGGATTTGTTTAAATCATCAGAATAGTACATCAGCAGAACCTTCACTCCAGAACAGAGGATAAAGTGGGCAGCAGTGGAGAACAAAAGTTGGATTTGTTTAAATCATCAGAATAGTAGGTAGCGTTGTGTTCAGTGTTTAACTGCTTGACAAAAGACTGGCAGATTTAGAAAGAAAATGCACACAGATTTTTAAAAGTGTAGCTATGTCATGCCTCAATAACTGAATATAACGGGCTAGGTTTCTGAATCAATGAAGTACAGCAGTAGTGAACATCTTGGAGTCTGAGGGCCGAATGTGGTTCATCGGGGTTCTGGGTGTAGCTCATAAGACATTTTGTTTACTATTACTCATGATTCTGCTGATTTCCACCCACAGTTTTTTTTCCCTGCTGGTATTACTAAACTGACAAAAGGGCATGTGTAGTGAGGTGCATGCTGATTGTACCCAATATTGACTGTGGTGGCCTTGTACCCCCTCTGCATTCAAAATGCTGCTTCTGTTCGATCGGCACACCCCGCAATTCTAGGTACACATGAGCAGTTAGCAAAACTCCACTATCCTAGGAGACCAGCTCAGTTGTGACAATCTTGCAGCCCATTTAAATGAAGGAGGGCCACTCATGTGGCCCACTCACGAGCCCAGGTTGCCCATTGCTGAAGTACAATTTGAGCTTCACTGAGGTTACCTGACATCCCATCACTTTAAAAGGGCTATAGAGTTTATCCCATTCATCTTAGAATTCTTGACAGAGTTCTGTTCTTTCTTAATATTTGTCTCATTCAAGTATG